GGACCCCCGGCGAGAAGAGGGCTCCTGGAGCCCCGGTTTCTCCGTCGGTCAGATGGGGCATCAGTGAGCCGCCCGGGGTGCGGCGAGGGCTGGTTTGAGGGGACCAGGTGCGGCCGAGCCTGCAGACAGAGAAGGTCTGAGCCTGGGCATGACGCTCCTCGACCCCCGCCTGTCGCCCCACCACTGCCCAGCAGGGGGCGCCAGAGCCCGGGCGCCTCCCCCACCAGCTTCTCCGCTTCCCAGTACAAGGAGGAGCCGCTCAGCGCTTCCTGCGAGAAGTGGATGGAGATGAACTTGGTCCCCGAGGTGGGGAGGCAGATCCACCTCCAGAAGATCCCCAAGGAGCTGCTGCTCAAGGTGCTGCGGTCGCCCAGGTCAGTGCAGGCTGCGGGGCGCGTGTGCGCATGTGCGTGTGTCTGTGTGTGCACGGGTGTGCATGTCTGTCTGTGCACGTGTGTGTGCGTGTGTGCATGCGGGCGCCTGGGGGAGCGGGGCCGATGGGGAGAGGGAGGTGCTGGGGGGCACCTACCCCCCTGCTGGGCTCACTGCGCGCCTCACCTCCCCCATTTCAAACTCCTCGCCCCTGGGCGCCCGGGGACTGACATGGGGTGCTCCGCGGGGCGCGGGGCTTCTCTTCACAGTACTCACCAGGGTAAGGACCCTCAGGTGTCCATCTGGTAATTAATTAATTACCTAAGTACATTTTTAAAAAATACTTTTATTGATTTCAGAGAGGAAGGAAGAGAGAGAAACATACATGATGAGAGAGAATCACGGATCGGCTGCTTCCTGCAGCTCCTACTGGGGATCCAGCCTGCAACCTGGCCTGTGCCCTGACCGGGAATTGAACCCGGGACCCTTCCGTCACAGACCAACGCTCTAGCCACTGAGCAACACTGGCCAGGGCACCTCAGTAATTTTTTAAAAAATTCTGCCAACAGCCCGGCCGGCGTGGCTCAGTGTTAAGCGTCAACCTATGAACCAGGAGGTCACAGTTCGATTCCCAGTCAGGGCACATTGATGTTTCTCTCTCTCTCTCTGCCTTCCTCTCTGAAATCAATAAAAATATATATTTTTAAAAAAATAAGAATTAGAGATGAGCCTCGAGACCGCCTACAGCACAGTCTGGCATCGGGTTCCAGGATGCCTCCGGGCCGTCCTGCCCCGTCCCCCTGCCCTCCCCGCAGTGCCCTCCCCGCCCTCCGGGGGGCAGAGTTGCGAACTGGAGAGGAGATAAACAGGGCGCCCTGCCCTCGGAAAGACTGAGCTGCCGGCCGTAGCATTTCACCGAGAAAAGGGGGGACGTCTGGCCGCAGCCAGGACGCCAGGGACGGCCGGGCACTAGAAAACACGCGGCGGGGACAGAAATCGGGGACATTGCGTCCCGTGTCTAGACTCAACTTCAGGGAAACATGACCGATGTGGAAACCGGGTCCCGCTGCCCGGACCCTCCCTGGTGCTGTCTGCACGGCCCGCCGCCCGGCTCTCAGGTGCCAGGAGACAAGAGCCTCGTGGGCTGGGCAGCCAGCAGCCCTCGCGCCTGCAGTGGCCGGGCCAGCAGCGCCCTGACTCACATCTTCCAAGTAAACTCGCCTCGCCCCACTGACGTCCAGGGCACCTGCTTTATTTATTATTTTTAAAATGTATTTTTATTGATGTCAGAGGAAGGGAGAGGGAGAGAGAGAGAGAAACATCCATGATGAGAGAGAATCATCCATCAGCTGCATCCCACACACTCCCTGCTGGGGATTGAGTCCCCCAACCTGGGCCTGTGCCCTGACCGGGAATCAAACCAGGGACCTCCTGGTTCATAGTCGATGCTCAACCCCTGAGCCACGCGGCCGGGCCTCAGCCTGGCCGTCGCCGGCAGGAGCTCACCACCCCTAGGGGCTGCTACTGCGCTAAAGGCAGGGGCTTTCCCAACACTGACCTTCCTCATACAAACAAAACCGGGCCCTGATTCCCGGGCTCTCACCCCCCCTTGTTGCCCCGTCCGTAAGGTCTCAAAGGACCTTCTGGGCGTGAGGCTCTCCCCCGTGAGTTCTGCCCAGAGTCACCCCGCTCGCCCGCCCGCCCGCCAAGGGGTGGCAAGTCCTGGCAGGGGTCTTGGTGAGGACAGCAGACAAGTGGCCCTGTGACGTCTGCCTCCTGCTCACCATCGCTGCCCAGACGTGACAGGTGTGGTCCTGTCTGGCCAGGGCCACAGCCAGGCCCCTGTGGGGGCTAAACACAAGCCGGAGGGCGGCGGTGCCCGAGCCCAGACACCGAGAGACACGTGGGCGGTGACGCTCCCAGGCCCTTAGGAGCCACGGCTTGGCTGGCGTTCCCCCTCCGAGACCACAGAAGTGGCGGGTGAAAAGCTGGTGATATATTGTTTCTTTTTCTTTTTTAATGTATGTGTTGATTTTACTTTATTTTTTTTTAAATGTATTTTAATGGGTTTCACAGAGGAAGGGAGAGGGAGAGAGAGGAAGAAACATCCATGATGAGAGAGAATCATGGACCGGCTGCCTCCTGCACGCCCCACCCTGGGGATCGAGCCCACAACCCGGGCCTGTGCCCTGACCGGGAATCGAACCCGGGACCTGCAGTCTGCAGGCGGATGCTCTGTCCAGTGAGCCAAACTGGCCAGGGCAATGTATGTACTGATTTTAGAAAGAGGGAAGAAGGGAGAGAGAGAGAGAGAGGGAGAGAGAGAGAGAGAGAGAGAGAGCCATCAACTTGTTGCCCACTATTCCTGCACGCATTGGTTGATTCCTGTGTGTCCTGACCGGAGAGCGAACCCAAAACCTCTCAACCCTGGCATGTGGGACGGCGCTCCAGCCAACTGAGCCGCCGCCAGGGCAGGGCTGTGAGATTGTGAAGCCACGGTGCCACCTCCGCGGTCAGCGGCGGGAATACGACGGGTTTAGGAACACGGAGGCCAGTTCTCAGATAGTCGAGTCCCAGAGGCTGTTCAACAAGCTGTTTGGGAATCGTCCTCACTTGGCAGAGCTGACATAAGGAGACCCCAGCCGCTCTTTAAAAAAAAAAAAAAATTTATTGACTTCAGAGAGGGAGGGAGATGGAAACCTCAATGATGAGAGAGAATCGTGGATCGGCTGCCTCCCGCATGCCCCGCACTGGGGATGGAGCCCGCAACCCGGGCCTGTGCCCCGACCGGGATCGAACAGAGACGCCAACCACTGCGCGCGCCGCCTGGTGACAGCCGCTCTTACTCCTCGTTTCTCGGGAGCCCCAGGCTGCTACAGGCCGTATGGGTCCTGGAGCCGGGACCCGCCCGCCGTGGGACCTCGGGCTGCTGTTCCCTGAGCTCCTGGCCACGTGCCCGGCTCTGGGCTCAGCAGGCGGCTCACGGATGGTCCCCAAAGACCCCCTTCCCCCGGCTGCCTGCAGGCCGGGCGCCTTGGCCGCGTTCTCAGGCGTGCTGCTCCCTCTCCGTGCCTGACCGCGTGGTTTCTGCCGTCCCTGGCACGTCCTCTCCGTCTTTTTTTTGCCCAGATTGTTCGTTTTCAGTGAGTTTCACCTTCTGAAGACGCTGCTTCTGTGGGTCTACCTGCAAGTGAACCCGCGGCTGCTGGTGCTGCCCACCCACGAGGCTGTGATGACCTTCTTCAGCAGGTGACGGCGAGGGCGCGGCCTTCTGTTTGCTCACAGTATTGGGGGGGCGGCGCCCTGGTGATGGCAGAGTGCGGGGCCGGGATTGCGGGAGGCCTTCGACCCAGCGAAGCCCTGAGAAAGAGAATGACACGCAGGTGTGGGAATATTGACACGATCTCGGGCTTCTGAGTTCTCTGTGTCCAGTAAAGGAGAAGGCACTCCCATCGGGAGAATCGCCGTCCCACCCCACCCCCACCTCACACCTGAAACGCGCCTGCGTCAGACCATCATTTAAGTGACAAAGAACACGCCTATGTAATAAAAGGGTAATGTGCAAATCGACCCCACAGCGGGACAGCCGGTCGCTATGACGCGCCCTGACCACCGGGGGCAGATGCTGAATGCAGGAGCTGCCCCCTGCTGGTCAGTGAGCTCCCACAGGGGAGCACTGCTCAGCCAGAAGCCGGGCCCACGGCTGGCGAGCACAGCGGCCGTGGCAGTGCTTAGGAGTAGCCTAAGATGGTGGGCGGACATCCCCTGAGGGCTCCCGGGCTACGAGAGGGCGCAGGCCGGGCTGAGGGACCCCCCCCCCAAGTGCACGAATCTGTGCACCGGGCCTCTCGTTACAGCACAGCGAGCACCGTTTGGTGATGCTTCCTAGAGGCAGGGCTTCTGCCCAGCTTCTCCGTGTAACCTTGTCTCATCTGCACGCTCCTCGCTCCTCGGGGGCTGGTCTTGTTATTCCCATTCTCCAGATGAGGAAACTGAGGGAGAGACGGGCCCTCTTACCAGCGGTCAGACGCGCACAGTAAGGGATGGCGTCTGCCTGGCACCCAGAGCCGCCGAGTCCCAAGATGCTTTGCTCCCGATCCCAGAGGCCGGGATTCCTCTCGGTGAGGGTCTGGCTGGCTCGGCGGCTCCCGGGACAGCACGGTGTCCAGAAGGTCCTGAGGCTGCTCCAGGCGGCGAGTTAGGGAATTCCTGCTCCTGTGCCTGGCGGTGCGTCCCCGCCCCCGCCTGTGAGTGGCAAACGCCAGGGCAGCGGGGACCAGCCACCGGGGACCAGGGTGCGGAGAGGTGACCTCGGGAGTTACTGGGCCCCTCGGTGTCTCCGCGGCCGCTGCTGACACGCAGTGAAGGTGCCCACGCCCCGAGCTGCTCGGAGCCAGGCAGGCCCAGGCGTGGGAGCTCTCCCTGGGGCACCCGTGCGCCGTGTCACCGCCGGCCGCTGTCCAGCCTCGTTACGTGGGGAAAGCGCAATCGGCGCCAAGCGATACGTCCGTCGCTCGGTCTCTGTGTCCTGTGTTTTGTTTGTTTTTTAATCCTCACCCGAGGATATTTTTCCATTGATCTTTTCTGGGGGGAACGTGGAAAAGAGGGGGAAAGACAGGGAGAAACATCCGTGTGAGAGAAACACACCGATTGGCTGCCTCCTGCCTGCAACCGCGGTACGTGCCTTTGACCGGAATCGAACCCGGGACCCATCCGTCCTCAGGCCGGCGCTCAACCACTGAGCCGAACTGGCCAGGGCTCATCATTTGCTTTGAACCAGATGTTATATCCGCCCCCCCCTTCACGTTTAATGGCCCAGAGGCTGCGTTTCCTGTCACGCTCACAGGACGAGTCGCCGCCTGGCTCCGGGTTAGTCGCAGACGGAACTGTCTCAGAACCAGGATGGGAGTGAGTCCCTGTGCTGGCTCCCTGCGCTGTGGCCTCAGTGAGGGACAAGTGGCAGAGAGAGCCACAGTCTGTAGCCCTTGGCGAACATGGGTGTCCTCTGTGAATGTGGGGTGTCCTCTGTGAATATGGGGTGTCCTCTGTGAATGTGGGGTGTCCTCCGTGAATATGGGGTGTCCTCTGTGAATGTGGGGTGTCCTCTGTGAATGTGGGGTGTCCTCCGTGAACATGGGGTGTCCTCCGTGAATGTGGGGTGTCCTCCGTGAATGTGGGGTGTCCTCTAGGAACGTGGGTGTCCTCCGCAGAACATGGAGTGTCCTCGGCGTCCTGGGCTGGGGTCCCCACTGGTCCCTGTGAGGAAACCCTTTTCTTTGTCGCTCTTTTTCCATCTGTCACTCATTTGACCGCATTTCCTGCTCCCGAGCCGAGCGCCGGCCGATGGGAAGTGGGGGCAGTGTCTCCACCGCCCAGGGGGCCAGGAGCCGCCTCCAGCTGGTCCTCGCTGCTGCCCGAGGACGCCGTGTGGGAAGGAAACACACCCCCCGGCTCCCACAGCCTGTGTTCCGGGCAGCGGTTGTTTTAGAAACACAGCGAGCCTGTCCCGAACTACACGGGACGTTTCCTGCAGGAAAAACACACACACGTGTGCCGAGCGGCTGCCGTCGCCCGCGGGGAAGCCATCTCTCCGCTCGGCTGGCAGCCGGGTCCGGGAAGCTGCAAGGCCCCCCACCAACACCCCCCGCAGCTGAGCCAGGCAGGCGGCTGTCCGCTCTCTAGAGCGACGTGTTTGCATGTTTTCATTGAGCTTTAGGGAGAGAGGGAGGGAGAGGAAGAGAGAGAGAAACATCCATGATGAGAGGTAATCATGGACCGGCTGCCTCCTGCACGCCCCCCACGGGGGATGGAGCCCGCAACCCGGGCCTGTGCCCCGACCGGAAATCGAGCCGTGACCTCCTGGTTCATAGGTCAACGCTCAACCCCTGAGCACACGGGCCAGGTGTGATCTTTAATCAGAGTCTAAAATGCGTGCAGAAAAGGGCACCGACCTAAAGGGAAGGGTGAGCTCCCGGGAAGCTCACCCAGAACCCGTCACAGCCCCGGGGCCAGGAAACGAACTTGACCGGCCAAGCAGATGCCTCGCCTCGGCCGCCACCCGCCGCACCTGGGCCGAGGGCACGTCGCTCACGACCCTAGTGCTTGCCCTGGTGGGTTTAATGGTCTCTCTCGGGCCCTGGGAGATGGGCTCTGGGGTGGGCTCGCACCGTGCGAGAAGGGGTCCCTGGAAGCAGCCGGCAAGCCAGTTTCCACCCGGTCCAGCTTCCCCGACCCCTGCAGCCACGTCTCCCCCGCCTCTGCCCGTCGGATCTGCAGCCTGGAGAGCTGGCCGAGGCCTCCTCCAGGGAGCCCTCCCGGGTCGCAGCTGCACAGACTGGTCCCCTCCTCGGAGCCTCTCTCAGCAGCGAGAGCGTGGGCTGGCTGCCTGGGTGTGCACCAGCTGGCGAACCCAACACCCCTGCACCACGGACCACCCGAGGGGGCCACCCCAGGCACAGGGCCCCCGGCATCTCGCGGGGAGCGCTCTAGGGTGCTGTGCGCCGGGCGGGCAGAGGCCGCGTGTCTCCGTGATTAATGAATGGCATTTGCAGATGTGGCCGCAAAGTCGTCATGAAACGGAGCATCCAGGCATGACCGCCCTGCTGATTTCCTTACCAGAACATTCCTGTAAAAATATCCCATGAGTCATGCCACGCGGCCCAGCAAAGTGTCCTCTCCCCCGGCGGCTCCGCCAGCCCCGGGCACGACCGCTCATGCCTGACCCTGTGTCCTCGCCCAGCACTGCCCGCCCCTCGCCGGCCTTCCCGGAGCTGAGTGCCCCTTCCAGGTCCCTGAACTTCGATGCCTGTTCCTCCGAACCTTGCACTTTCCTCGTGTAGCGTCTCGGCTTCCCAGGTCGCCTGGCAGCCCCAGGACGCGGCGGCCGAGAGCGGAGCTTGGAGGGTGAAGGTCTGGCTGCGGAGACCCTGCGAAGGGCACGGCGGCTGCGACAGGATTTCCGGGCCCCGCTCTGCCTTCGGGCAGCGGCAGGACCATCCTCATCTTCATCGTCAGGACGACCTCGAATTGCATCTCAACAGACTTGGCCCAACAGATAACCATGGCAACAGCGGACGGGACCCTGAGCATGGGAAAAGCAGCATGGAGTAGCCTGGTCCGTGTGTGCACGTGTGTGAGAGCACGTATGTGTGAGCACCGGGGCCGGAACTACTGGCATTCCTGGAAGATACACTGGGCTGGAGGGACAGAGGCCGGCGCGCTGGAGCGACCAGCTCAGTCTCGTGTGCAAGCGGCTGAGCCGGGCCCCGTGAGAGGCGCTGAGCACGGGAGCAAACCAAACAGACCTGCGCCCCCACCTTCGCGGGGTTTACAGTCCAGGCCCAGAGACCACCGCGCCTTCAGTGGAGAAGGCGTGTGAGGAGGGCGGCCGGCGCCCACCTGATTCATCTGATTTACTCGCGGGGAGGCTTGGGCGGAACCTGTCTGTGGTCCCTGGAACGTTGGCCCCAGAAAAGTCAGTGCTGACCCCAAAGAGGTCCTTGCACAGACAGCTCAGCACCGGGGAAGCCTGCCCGCTTTTGATCCACCGACAGCTTCCAGAGGGGTCGCCGCCCGCCGCCTCCCCTTCACGTTACACAGGGCAGACGTGGATGGAGCAGCGTGTCCCCACCAGGCGGCCGAGGCTGTGCCGGCCGGCCTTGCGGCCCGCGAGCAGGGGTACTGACCGCCGGGGTGGAGGCTCTGAGATTTCAGGAGTTGGCAGTGCAGGCCACCATTTTCCTTTTCTTTTAAAAAACATATTGTTATTGGTCTCAGAGAGGAAGGGAGAGAGAAACATCCGTGATGAGAGAGAATCACGGATGGGCTGCCTCCTGCACGCCCCCCACTGGGGATGGAGCCCACAACCCGGGCCTGTGCCCTGACCGGAATCGAACCCTGACCTTCCGGTTCACAGGTCGACGTTCAACCACTGAGCCACGCGGGCCGGGCCATTTTCCCCCTTTGAGATAGACCAGGCTCGGCCACGTAGCGGGGGGCGGAGATCATGAACCCCACTGAGAGCCGTGCCCGCACTGACCAGCCTGAGCCCGGCCCTTTCCCGGTGCGAGGAGGTGGCGGTCGCTCTGACTCTGAGGTTCACGGAC